GAAATGCATTGAACCCGATTTTGACAGCTGTCAAAATCGGGTTCAATGCATTTCGGGGGGGGGGGGGGAATTCGCCAGAAATGAACGAAAAGTCAGAACAAAGCCAAATTAAGTTTGCACATGTTTTACAAGGTGCTCTAACGAATCCAAGCATTTAAAATAGTTTCTGACTCTTCATTAATTTTTGGTGAATTCCCCCCCCCCAATTGAAAAGTATTGAACTGCAGGTTTGACAGCTGTCAAACTTAGGTTCATTGTATTTCAATAGGGGGAAAAATTCACCAAAAATTAACAAAGAGTCAGAACAAAGCCAAATTAAGTTTGCACACATTCTAGAAGGTGCACTAACGATCCCAAACATTGTAAACCTTTTTTGAACCTTTTAAGACACTTTAAAAATAGCGAAAATGGAACATCGCTAAGTGAAACAGGGGACCTAAAACTGTCATCACTAAGCAAGGCAAGGTCCCGAACATCGCTATGCAAATTTTCCCCATAGGAAACATCGTTAAACGGAGCACAAAATCGCTCCAAAAACCTCATCGCTAAGCAAATACATCGTTAAACGAGGCAATCGCTAAGCGAGGTACCACTGTAAGAGTATATTGAACTGCTATAGTAGCACACCAGTTCCCAGGGTCTGTAGCCTACTGACAAGTTTTGGAAAGATTCTTGAGGGGTCTTCAGAACGTCTTCCCAAACACCAACGCTCCGCACCCTCAGTGGTTGCTGTCACTGGTACTTTGTCAACTTGCGAAGCCTCTGTTTGAACTGATAGCATCATCTGACTTCAAATTACTTTCCTGTAAGACTTTATTTCCGGTTGCTGTCACCTCTGCCTAGAGAACTAGCCACCCTGCATTGCAACCCACCTTTCTTTCAATTACATAATGACAGGGTGACCTTGTTTTCCAGACCTATTCTTCCTGCCCAACATGGTCTCTTGTGTTTCATCTCAATCAATCCCTTGTACTCCCTGCTTTCTTCCTGTCACCTGTATGTGATTTGGAAAAGTCACTCCATTACATGAACATCTGTAGAAGCTTAGCTTTCTACATTTCAAGGATACAAGACTTTTGGAAGTCTGCTAGACTATTTGTTGGCCACCAAGACCACTCCCCCGCCCTCAAAAGGCGATCACAACATACCTCAGAGGCTGCCTGAATGGGGAGTCAGTCCAGTTGGCCTATTATACCAGCTAGCTAAAAAGCTAGCTAAAAACCAGTGCCTTGAAATTGCATTCTACTAGCACTGATGCTTTATTTGTTTGTTTGTTTGTTTGTTTGTTTGTTTGTTTGTTTGTTTATTTATTTATTTATTTATTTATTTATTTATTTATTTATTTATTTATTTATTTATTAGATTTTTTACCCCACCCCTCTAGACAATGTCCACTCTAGACAATGTCTACTTCATACACAGCTTTCCTCAGAGGAGTTCACCTGAGAGATGTTTGCAAAGCAGCAACCTGTTCACAGACTCTGACATTTGTCAAACATTACTGATTGAATGTCTGGGCCAAATTGGATGCTGTGTTTGGCAGAGTGGTGATTTCCTGTATCTTAGCATGATGTGTAGTTTAACAGAAATCACAAAGAAGGACAGGTTGCTTACCTGTGACCACAATACTTTGAGTGGTCCTCTGTAAATTTGCATAACCCTCCCATCCTCTCCTTAGTCTGTCACACATCTCTTGTTCCTTCTGGGCCAACAATGGACTAGGAGAACTGCAGACAATCCTCAGGGTGTGGAGCATGCACAATATGCAGGCTGCGTCTTAATACTTTTTTTTTTTCAGGCTCTAGATAGAACAGTGCTTCCCAACCTTGGTTCCCCAGATGTTCTTGGACTAAAATTCCCTGAATGCTTCACCACAAGCTGTGGTAGGATTTCTGGGAGTTGTACTCCAAGAACACCTGAGGACCCAAGGTTGGGAACCATTGTGCTAGAAAGTTCCAAGGATGTTCTTGTAGGCATGGAACAAATCCACATGTGTGAATGCACAGATGACCACTCAAAAAACTACACTTGCAGGTGAGCAACCCATCCTTAATCTTTGTTGTTGGCTGAATGGTTTTATCCAGACACAGTGAATTTACAGCATAACTTGAGGTGAAAAAAGATAAAGGAAAGATAATAGGTGTACTACTTCAGAACGTTTTCCCAAACACCCACGCTCCGCACCCTCAGTGGTTGCTGTCACTGGTACTTTCTCAACTTGCTTCTCATCATGTTATTCTGTATTATGTGCCATCAAGTCAGAACGGACTTAGAGCAACCCCAACAGGGTTTTCAAGGTAAACAAGATATTTAAAAAGTGGTTTTACTTGTTCTCCACAACCCCAGTGATTTTCCATGGCCAATCAGGGATTAGAACCCATGTCTCCTGAGTCCTAGAACATCACTTTGTCCACTACACTGGCTGTCTCCTGCACATCATAGGTTAATACAGTAATCTGTATGCTTAGGATTCAGTCCGAATTAGCCAAGATATCTTAGGGCTAGCAAGCTGATTTTAGACCAATTAAAACTGCTGAATTCTGACCTCTCCTAGCCAGGTGTTGAACTTTATGCTGGCATAGTAGGTGTGTTCCTCACCTTGAAGGGATATGGATCTAGTGTGATACAACTCCTCTCTATTTTTTTTAAAAAATATTAATTTATTATTTGCTTTGTTTTTCTGCTGTCTGGATCTTTCTACTGTACTGCTGAATCTGAGATAAACCAAGAAAGAGAATTCTGTCATAAGGGTAGCTCTGCTGACACAAGAATCTTCTGTTTTAAACCTACTACACATCTTTGAGTTAGGATTCCACTATAAGATGCAACTTTCACCCTCAAATTTTCAGTGAAAAATTATAATACTGGGTATTGGGTTTTTTGATACTATGTGCTGCGTCTGAAATCCTTATGTGACCTCTGGATAGGTGTCCTACCACCTTAGTACATCTGTGTGATGAATGGCAGCCTCCACTGTATTCAAACCATGCAGCCATCAGCCTTTGTCCACTGGCCCCCATCCATGTCTTAGGATGCAAATTTATTCATTTTGGAATTGTGATATTTTGCTTTTAAAATGATAAAGCTAACATGCCAGAAGACTTGGAGCATGGGTAAGATAAGGCAGAATTAGCAGATCTCCTAATTTTTGAAATCAGCCAAAGTTTTCCTTATTGTTTCCTATTTGTTTTATCCTGGTTTTCGTAGACATGGGATGGGGGAAGTGAAAAGGATTTATGCTGGAGAAAGGTACGTACTTGCAAATTTTCAAGTAGCTTTGAATGGATTGCTACTTGAAAATTTTCCACTATCTCTGGTTTCTTTTGTAGGCATTACCCGCCTAGTTTTAGGCATGCTTTCCAATTCTAAGGGCTAGAAACATCCCTGTTTTTAAAGCGGGAAAGAAAGAAAGCTGCCATCATCAGGAAGCCAAATTACAGTCCACACTATATATGAATTGCAACATACACCCCGCTCTGATTAATGGCCCGTGTTGTGAATAGATTGCTATGAGAAGTACAACAAAGACTTTTTTTTTATCTACATGAAGCCTTAACTGTGCAGCAGACTCTGTGTCCAAATGATACATTAGTTATTCTTACTTGGTGTGGTAAATGAGACAACTGAAACCTACTGTTATATTTTATAGCACCGGTTCCAGCCACAGAATCCCTTGTCTGGAGCCCAGCAGTTTGTGGCCAAGGACCCCCAAGAAGATGATGACCTGAAACTTTGTTCACATACGATGATGCTTCCCACCTGGGGCCAGCTAGAGGGAAGAATGATTGTCACTGCTTATGAGCACGGTCTGGATAATATCACTGAGGAAGCAGTGACAGTTGTTGTTTTTGCGCTGGAGGTGAGAGAACACAGAATGACAGCTGTGGTTCTGGTTCACTTCTGTAGGCAGAAAATGCAAGGATTCGTGTATGGTGTAGGAGTAATTTGTGAACTTGCTGTCTATCCAAGTGCAGCTAGAAGAACAACAAAATATTGTCTCCATGTAGGTGCTTGTCTGCACTGGTCACATATAAAACAGAACAGAATCTGTTTTGTCTCCCTTTTCTGTGGCTTTCCTCAGTTTCACACTGAAAAGCTCAGAGTCATGGGTGACCTTAAAAGGGCTCATGTGTGAAGGGAACTGGGCTTCCCAGCCTTACCTCTCCAGAGGAGAGGCAATGTTAAATCCATAAAGGGCTCATGTGTGAAGGGAACTGGGCTGCAATGTTAAATCCACATCCTGTGCTACTTGGCCTCCTCCTTGCATTTGTGGGCATAAATATGGTCATTCTTGTTGAGTTTTCATAACAGAATAGGATTTTTTTTTAAAATGAGAGTATTATGTGATGAGAGAATAACATGGCAGGCGCTCCATAACCTCGAGGGATAATAGAATCAGGATCCTTTATTCAAGAATAAGCAAGCCATCACCAGGTAAAGGGCAAGACGAGGTGCACAGTTCAAGACAGACAAAAGTTGGGTTCCAGAAGCACCAGCTAGCAGGCTTAGGAAAACCAGAGGCCTGTGGGAGGTGGTCAGAGTGGTCAGACTGCAGCTGCTAAAGGTCCTGTGGAGGAGGAGGAGGAGGAGGAGTTTAGCATCTGGTACTGAGCTTATCCATAAAACATGGCAGCAGTGTGAAGAACTGTAAGTAAGCAACCTGCTTCAAAATGTAGGACTGGTATGAAGCCTTATATTCTTTCAGGGTTTGATTACCTCTTTCAGACTTTGCCCTTTCCCTGAGAACAGCTTAGCACTGTTCGCTGACAGACACACACACCCCATCTTTTTCCCCTCGGTCCAACATTATGGTGTATAAGGTTCTTAGTGCAGAAGGGCATAGGTTCTTATTTAGGGATCACTTGCCCAAAGACTCACAATCTCATGGCCTTGGTTTCCACTATCTACCCTGTTTCCCTGAAAATAAGACAGGGTCTTATATTAATTTTTGCTCCAAAAAACACATTCGGGCGTATTTTTGGGAGATTTTTTATTTTACATTTTTTAATTTTATAATAAGACAGGGTCTTATATTAATTTTTGCTCCAAAAAACACATTTGGGCGTATTTTGGGAGATTTTTTATTTTACAGTCATGTCATCTTTTGGTTGCTGCACAATGGTGGAGGGCGGGGTTTCACTTAACTAGGGCTTATTTTGGGGGTAGTGCTTATATTACAAGCATCATGAAAAATCATACTAGGGCTTATTTTCAGGTTAGGGCTTATTTTGGGGAAAACAGGCTAAGCCTTTAGTGCCACTGAAGCAGTCATTGAGGTAGTCATGTCAGTTACAGTGGGGTCTTGACTTGAGAACTTAATCCGTATTGGAAGGCGGTTCGCATCATGAAAAATCATACTAGGGCTCATTTTCAGGTTAGGGCTTATCTTGGGGGAAACAGGGTAAGGCTTTAGTGCCACTGAAGCAGTCATTGAGGTAGCCATGTCAGTTAGATGGATTGGTTTCCAGAGATACTGTACATGTTATTAGCTAATGAGGCTTTAATGCTGCTTTGTCTGGCACTGCCAAATAATGGGTCAATTTGCAAAATCATTAATGGACTGTATAGCATATAAGGTAAAGCAGCAACACTTTAACGTAGTTTGAAACTGGGATTTACAGTGCAACATCATGCTTGGCAACATTGGACACTGCATTATCCTCAAACAGAAAATGCATGTCTTTTTCTCTGCAGAAGCATCTTAAGGACATCCTTACATGTATAATATCAAAAAGAAAGGCCTATCGCCTCAGAGATGGTCACTTCAAATATGCCTTTGGAAGCAATGTTAACCCCCAGCCTTATCTGAAGAACAGTGTCATTGCTTACAATAACTTAACAGAGTGGTAAGGAAATTTAAATATAGCAGGGACAGAATATCACAATCTGAGAAAAAACTTTTGATTAAAAATTATATTTTGTAGTGGTAATATTGAAAAGTTTAAAGGTTAGCCAAAGTTTCAGAATTGCAGAATTACAATAATTTTACAATCCTCCAGTTTTGTGGGGGGGTGTTGTTTTAGATTGTTAAACTCTGAGAATGCTTTGTGTTTATTAAATATTACAGGATTTTCTGGATTCTCATATATTGGTTGGAATCCTGTTTGTGAAGCTCTGCACATGTACTGCCAGTCCTGGTCCTGCCTCCAGCAGTTTTTGAATGTTAAAGGCTGTCCCGCCTGCAAAGCCCTCAGCGGCATTCCCCAGTCAAAAAACTGGGGAATGCCTCAGACCCTAAGAAGGAATAGAAAAACTTTAATTAAAGATAAAAGGCTGCAGCTGATGACATTATCAGGCTTATGCACACAGAGCTGTGCCAACAGGAGTCTGGTCATTAATCAAATTGATCAAACTAAAATAGTAGCTTATCCCCATGTTCAATTTTTTAAGTCCTTGCGTTCAGTGCCCCCTAAATGTTTCATTTATTTTGCTCCATGTACTAGACATTGACATCACAGTTGCCAGGTGATGAAAAATTGTTGCATTTTAGTTTAGATTTAACTGCTGATCACATGACCAATTGTAGGTAAAAGTTAACATATAATAATTATCTTTTAACCAAGCATTTGGTCTGTAGCTACAGTTTCCTTATGGGAAACTTGGTTTTGTAGTTTATCACTGAATGGCAGTAAAACCTGGATGCAAATATTTTATTTTGCAAATGTATATCCCACCTTGCTTCCGAGGATTTCAAAGCTCTATGTGTTGCTGCTATCTTTTAGCATCACAACAAATCTTTGGATAATTTTTTTTATGATGAGAAATGGTGGATAGCACAATATCACTATCTGGATGTTGTAGCTGAATGGGAACTTCAAACTGAGTCTCCCTAGTTGTGGTCCAGTGGTTCCCAACCTTGTGTCTCTAGATGCTCTTGGACTAAAATGCCCAGAAGCCTTTGTCACTAGCTATGCTGGCCAGGATTTCTGGGAGTTGTCGTCTCAAGAACATCTGAAGACCTAGGGTTGGGAAGCACTAGTATAGCAGTCTAAGGACATCACACTAGCCTTCTAGTGTCCTTCCAAGATTCCTTCCAAGATACATTCAGTAGTCTGAGCAAAATCAGTTTTAAAATAAAAGAACAATTTTAAAAGGCACAGTTCTAGTATTCCAGCAAACTTGAACCAGCACAAGGAGAAATGATTCTTAACTGCCGCCCTTGCCTTTTGAAGAATGTTATGCTGAATCCTCCCTCCCTTCGCCATCACAACTGTATTTCTCTCTCCCTTTCTCTCTCTCTCTTAGCCCTCCCACTTGCTTAGCTCCCCCACCAGGTCAAAACCTTGCTTCGCACCCACCTCCTGATGATGCTGAGCAGCAAGCAGCCCTCCTCCTTGCCTGTTCTGGGGATACCTCACCAGGAACTCTGCCACCAGTGAATATGTATGACCTCTTTGAAGCATTGCAGGTAGTATTTCTACTTGAATTACTGTGTTGGCTTGGAGGATATATTTTCAAGCAAACACAAACAGCATCAGAGGGTGGAAGGAACTTTTTTCTGTGCAAGCATATACAGCCATGTGGGGGGAAAATACACCCTCTTTGATTCTATGGTTTTACGTATCATGATATAAGATTCTATGGTTTTACGTATCATGATATAAGATTCTATGGTTTTACGTATCATGATATAATAAAAATCTGCTTAAGGTATATGTCTGCTTAAGGTGTATATCTGCTTAAGTTGTAAATCTGCTTAAGGCTACAAGCTATTGAATCATAAGGTGTACTTAGTTTTTCACACTTGGCTTCTCCATGTTGGCTTTATTTTTGTTAAATAATAACACATGTGTTGTTGTTCATCTGAAGTTGTATTTATTTAAATTTTCAACCTGCTAAGAAACAGATGGTTTTTATTATGTCTTGATAAGTAAAACCATATAATTCAAAGAGGGTCTACTTAAGTTTTCACATGACTGTATGTTGCATCTTATGTTAGGCAATTTACCCTGCATGTGCCCTGGATTGTCCAGTGAGCCAAAATTAATTCCTAATTGCAGTTCCAGATGTCCAGGCCTTTTCACCCCTCAGAAAAGTAGTTCTAGTCTTACAGACACATTTGGCCCAGGTATTTTTATATGAATCTTGGATGGGATCAGGAGACCCCATCCAAGACCCCAACCTTCAAAACCCAGTTGAACAGAACATGCAGAACAAATTCATAATGCAAAACAAGCTTTTTCTACTGTTGTTCTCAAATTATACGCATGAAAAGAGCTGAAGCTTATTTTGAAATCTTAATTTATCATATTACATGCATTCACCATTTTTCATCTTCAGATAGTGAAGAAGTCAAGGTGTCTGCAGCGCAAGAGCCCCCAAATAAGCACTCAGAGGGCAGCAGCTGACACGGAGAGGCTGTCCCATGCTATATTGGATTTGAAGGTCTCTTTCCTTCTTCTGCCTTGCTGATGCTGTTTGTTCCAAGGCTTTACCATGAGTGCAATTCAGTAAAAGCTGATGATGCAAAAAAGGTTACACTGATATATAGAGACATGTATAATTAGTTCTGTTTGGATAATGTAGTCATTTAAAACTCATCATTTATTGGTAACCACATTTTCTCATCTTTAACCTATAGATCCACCGAGAAGTGGTTCCTGCTCATACGGTCTATGCTCTCAATATTGAAAGAGTTATCTCAAAGCTTTGGCACCCAAACCATGAAGAGCTGCAGCAAGACAAAATCCACCGACAGCATCTAGTGGCAAAGGAAGGACTCCTGATGTGCTGAGGAAGCTACCTGTCTCCATGGTGGCTGTAGGCAAAGTTGATATTTTGTGGATCTGCCAGTTAGGCATCTGGGCTTTGGGATCACAGAACTTGCATTATTGTGCCAGCATTTCCGTCTGGGAATGTGGATGTCTTTCCTATGGAAACATGACTTGAGAAATCCCATTTGCTACTAGAAAGCCATACAAGTATAAACAGATTGCCTTGACTTCTTTAAGGCCTTAGGTGCTTTGTTGAGGTAAAGACATTTTTACCAAAGTCAGCAGGATAAATAAAAGGAAAAGGGATTTAGCTTACCACAGAGAGACCTGTTTGTTATTCCCTTCATGACTTGAAAGATTGTGGTCAGCCAGTTCCTGTACTTCAGACACTGCTTTTCAGAATTGCCAAGTATTAGAATTACCATTTAAGACACTGTCCTGGGTTGCTTTTGTAGATATAGAGGTACACATGACAAATAGCTGTGCATTTTTAAATGTTTTTTGTTTTGTATAATGTAAACTGATTACAATTTGGAGAAATCTTGATCCATACAAATAAACCTGGTTGCAAAGCAGTTTTCATAGAAGAGAAATAATTCTTTTAATAAGTCTAAATTTCAGACTGAAACTTTTATTTTTGATTTTAATATGTAGGTCTAAAGAAGGAGCTTAAAAATAATCTCCTCTTCACCATGGCTTTTTATGTTGGGGGGTTGACTTTTGGTTTCTTATGTTCCATATTTTTTGGTAGAAGCATCCAGACAAATGGGTTCAAAAGAACCATTTTATAACAAGAGCCCATGCACACCAACCTGCAGTAGCAGTAGAATTGCTTCTTCACAGTGTTTGTACTTGTTTCTGTTAAATTTCATTCTATTCAACAGCAAGATAAAAAGCTATCAAATAAAGCAAGCCCCCTCCCTGTAATTCCTCTTAGTTAACTATGGGCTGGATAGAATAACTGTCAGGTTGTTTGCAGTATCATATTATAAGAGTGCTTATCTATGGCTCCACCTCATACTGGGAGGAAGTAACAATTGGGGTACCACAAGGCTTGAAAAGCAGTTTGTGAAGATATAAACCCAATCCTAGGCCCAGTCCTCTTCAACATTTTTGTTACTGACTTGAATGAGGAGGTGCAGGGATCACTTACTAGATTTGCAGATGACAAAAGTACCGTATTTTTTTCAACATTTTTGTTACTGACTTGAATGAGGAAGTGCAGGGATCACTTACTAAATTTGCAGATGACAAAAATTAGATTTGCAGATGAAAAAAATAGGTGGATTATCTACTACCTAAGACAGAAACAACATTCAAAATTTTTTTTATAGGGTTGAGCACTGGGCTGAAAAACAACAAAATGTAATTGAATAGGGATAAATATAAACTTCTACATCTAGGGGGAAAAACAAATGCACAGTTACAAGATGGGGGCTACTTGGTTCAACAATACTACATCTGAGAAGGATTTTGGAATTGACTGGACATATTTAACCTTGAGGAAAGAAGACTTAGGGGAGAGACAATAGCACTCTTCAAATGTTTGATAGGTTGTTATATAGCAAAGGGTTAGAATTTGTTTTCAATCATTCCCGAGTGCAGAACACATAATGGGCTCAGGTTATAAGAAGCCAGACTTCAGTTGAATATCAAGATAAGTTCCTAACTGTTAGAGCAGTACAACAATGGAACCAATTACCTTTGAAAGTGGAGCAGTACAACAATGAAACCAATTACCTTTTAAAGTGACCAGCTCTCCAACACTAGAGGCATTCAAGACAAAGTTAGACAGCCATTTGTCAGATGTACTTTGACTTGGGGTCCTGCATTGAGCAAGATGTTGGACTTGATGGCCTTATAGGCCCCTTTCAACTCCATTGTTCTATGATTATATGAACAACTCAGATAAATAATTCTCTCATAATCTCTCTCTTTTAAGTAGGTGTAAAAAGGTTCGTTATTTTCCTCAGGCAACCCCTCCATTTCGGCGGGAAATAACAAAGGGCGAGTCTTGATTACTTTAACATTAGAACGTTTATTTATTCCTCCCTCCTCCAGCACATCTTCAAACAACAACTTCGGTTCCAACACCGGCAACAGGCCGTTCTTATCAACATTTGAACTCTGATCAATGTCCCAAGGGGTTAGTGATGAGGTCCCCCATAAGGTTCCTTGGGCGCTGATTGAGGGCTTGGGAGACTCCTCACTGCACAAATCGTCCCACAACATTGGTGACGAATCCACCCTCTCTCATCTGGACCCACCGGGATCGATGTTAAGATGTTTTGTCTCGCCCGCAACAGTTCAGTCTCTCTTGGAGCTATGATCACGTCCCATTCTCTGACCGTTATTCTTTGTGGTCTCTCTCGAGGGTCAGGAGGATTTAGTAATAGACCCGCCCACCTTTAGGTTTGGAAAGTCTCGTACTAATCCTTGAAATCTGACTTTCTCAAAGGCTTTGCGTCTTTCCTCCCTTTTCTTCTCCTCAAGCCTTTACCACCGAACTGAACCACACGACTCCCCCCTCATCCTTATATTCCTCTCCAACTGTCACTTCTGACTCCTCCCACTCCCCTTCAGCCAAGCACACCTCTAACTTCCCCTCCCCCTCTATTCCTGTTAATTCCTTTCTCTTCTTTCCTTCCCTTTCATCGCTAGCCCGTAACTCTCTTCCGTTGTCATTGTCTTTCCTTCTGACTTCCGTGGACGGCTCACTTCTACTCTCTCCTCCTTCACAGTAGGCTGACTCTGAAGAACATCTAAAATACAAAAACTGATTTGTTACCAGTAATCAAGGAAAAAAATGAAAATGTTTCCTAGAAACAAACTACCAGTACACTCTTCAAAGCATTGATTTTTCATTAATCAGATACAGGAAAAATGCTTAGAGCATGCTTAAAACAAAAGAACAACTTATCCAGAAACATACCAAAGTATCCAGTCTCATACAGAATGACCAAGACATCACATAATCTTTTAGCACTTTTGGAAGAAATTTTATTTTTGGTCTAGCACTGATGAATTCAGAGGACCGCACTCCTTTGCAGCCCAAGGGAGAGTGCATCTACTCGGCCATAGATTCCACTATGTTCAGTGGAGCTCAATTTCAAGTACATTGATGGGGGGGTGGGATCTGGAGCGGAATGATTTGCACTGATGTAAAGTAGTGACTAAAGGGCTGATTTACAAAAGAGGACGTACCCTTCAAATCACATTCCAGAAATTAGTATACTATGTGATATTAAACTACTGTTCGGGTCTGCATTTCCAATATGGAGATGATTACTGATGTGTCCTCAAGGGCTGCAAGGACTATGAGATAATATAAGAAGGGTCATGCTTGTTTTCTACTCTGTTCTGTTGGAAGATAGCTAACCTCAGGTGGCTTTTCAACACAGCTTTGGATTCCACGTTTGAGATTAATGTAAATATTTTCTCCTTGGTGGAAAAAGAAGGGCAAACATGATATATTTTAGAGGAAACAGCAAGGGCTGTCAGGAGGTTGCATTCTTCTCTCCATGGAAAAATACCACACCTAAGGTTGCAGGGCCTCAGGCTTTAAGCTTCATCCTGTTAGGCATATTCAGAAGCAGTCTTGTCTTTAATATTACTGTGTATATGCTCTATAGCTGCTGCTGTTCTAATTCAAATGTTAATATTTTTTTTGCTTTTTTTGTCTTGCTTTTGGTGCAGATGTCCTGAATGAATGATCATGAGACATTTCATTTACTGCTAAATGAACATTGTGAACTGGTATCTAAGAAAGTAGCTCTATGTATAGGCCAATATTAAAATATTAATTATCTTTTTCTTTCTGGCTGCTACTGGAGAATTCCTCTCCCTTAGTTTGAGTTTTGATCACGTGTCATTCTGTTACATATTGCGTTAGACATCCTTGAATGCTGCTGTAAATTTGTAGTTCATGGAGTCCTATGTAGTCCTACATTGAGAGAGAAAAGTACTCAAGGAAAAATTGCCAATCAGGTCCATAATTTCTCATCTCCATATTTTGCTGTAACAAGTAGGGTGATGTTTCTGGAGCTTGAAAGGTAGTTTCTGAAGGCATAAACCCAGTTTGAGAACTACTAGATTTTCTGGTGGTAACTTTTAGTCTCACGCCAACATTATACATAATGTTGGAAATTCTTGGAAGCTCTATTAAGATATCCAAGATTGCCTGAGTCATGTTGATTCATAATTGGGTCTCCACATTAAGAAAGAAACAATCAATTATATGCACCACATACCTTCCTCACATGCCCTCCATGGTGTCAAAAATGTTGCCACACAGGTCTCAGGTTTTGTTTCTGAAATCTCTGGAAATGAGATACTGCTGTCCTAGAAACCCTAAACAGCAGATGGATCCAGTTTTCCTCATGGCTATGGTTTGTTTGATTCTTCGCCTACTGATACAAATAGTTCTGCCAATTCCACCATAGGTTTCTCAAACTGGGAAGTATCTCAGGCCCTAGACTCAGTTAACTCTCCATCAGTATAGCCTTTGACTAATTAAACCTGATCTGGCTGTATTTGGAAAGACTGACTACTTCCTATTCCTATTGACAATGAGTGGGTGCTGCTTGACCTTCAAAGGTTTTTGTATTGTGACAGCTGGCCAGAAATGGAGATGGGTTGTTTCCCCAGGGACATTGGTTTCCATCCTGGTTGGCTTATGATCTTTCATTTCTTGAATCTGAGATTTACCCTGGGAGTGGATTTTAAAAATATTAATTCACTCCAGATGCTTTTGTACTTTCCTTTATTTGCTGATGGAGTGTGTGGCATGACTGAATATAGGACCCTTTCTTACCTGTAAGACAAGTTGTTACTGAACCAGAGTAAAACAACTAAGGATGAAACATGGCCCCTGTCCTAACCCCAGCCATTCCTGCTGTGGGGCACACCTGCTCTGACCAACAGGCATGACTGAGGTAACTGGTAGAAGGCCTCCTCTGTAAAGATGAGTATAAAGCCTTTTGAGTCTTCTGGAGGATCGACTGTCTTGATTTTGCATGACTGTACAGAGGCATTGACCCTGCCTCCATGGCCAATGACCCATTCATCAGCAAAAGCAGGCTGCAGCAGTCAGAGGTGCAGTCTCCTCCTATACTGGAAGGAAATTTCCTATATCCTATTTGACGTATTCACATTGATTAGACAAAAAAAGTTTTTGCTGTACTTTTAAACCATGTTTATTTTGTGCAGTGCTCTTTTTAGGTCACAAATTAAAAGGTTACATGGCATTATTATGGAAACCTCAAGCAACAGGTACACAAAATTTCCTCAGAATGGTGGCGTACTAATATCCTAATATCTGTTGAGGGGGCAAATTCTATCAAATAAGGCCCTTCAAAGAAATTCCTGGATTAGCTTGCTGACAATTTTCTCCTATAAACATTGGAGGAAGAAATTAGATGACTAGCTATCCTTGACTTGATTCTAACCAATAGGGATGACCTAGTGTATCTAAGAAGACCTCTGGGAGAAAGTGACCGTGTTATACTTCAGTTCTTGATTTCAAAGAAAGCAAAAGCATAGTGTAGAAAGCCTAGTTTTAATAAACTCAGAACAATGAGAAGTGAGGTTCCATGGCTAGAAATCTTAACAGGAAAAGGAGTCCAAGATGGGTGAGAATTTCTTCAAAAAAAAAAAAGGAATTCTAAATACAAACAATTCCAAGAAGAAGAAAAAGAGGGAAGACAGCCAAAACAAAACAAAAAATGTGGCTTCACAAAAAGCTCAGAGAGATCTTGAAAACAAAACGGGACACATATAAGAACTGAAAGGATGTCTGGGCCACCAAAGAAGAATAGAGACAAGTAGCCAAGATCCATGGATGGCAATAAGAAGACAAAAGCTGAAATATTCAATTCTTCGCTTAGCTTGGTTTGCTCCCAAAAGAGAATCTATGGTCCTCCTGGAAAATACGAAATACAATTTGAAGGAACAGAAGTGCATTGAAGAGAACATCTGCTTTCAACTGCTAGGTACCACCATGACTGCAGTTGGCTTCACCTACTGGGTCAACTAAATTTTATTCCCAGTTTTCTCTTCTCAGAACCCAGTTCTTCCTGGCTCAAGAGTCATTCTTGAAACTTCAGTGAGTGGTTTGCTCCTTGGATCAACAGATTTTCTTTTCTCTGCAATCCCATCTGCCTAGTTGTTACATTGCAACTTTCCTTCACTCTGGTCTTTGGTTTTACTGGTGTTGGATTATGAGTTCTTGTGCCTCATTATATCATTGGACCCTGTCTTTGGATTTAGAACCATTCAGGTCTGTAGCCAGCTTATTCTGTGATCTTTTAAAAGGGTTTTATTGTCATCAGTGAATTGTAATTTGACATTGATTGAGATGGTTTAGGGCCTTTATTATTTTCTGAATTGAATTCATTTGTTGCAAATGTTACAAATACTGTAGATAATAATCCAACAAATGTTCATTGGAAACAGAGGAAGAAGGTTGGATCTGGTATCTCTTCATCAACAATGCTTACTATTAATAATTGAGGTTCAGGCCAAATGTCATTTTAAAAGAACCAAATGTTGTTGTTGTTTAGTCATTAAGTTATGTCCGACTCTTTGTGACACCATGGACCAGAGCATGCCAGGCCCTCCTGTCTTCCACTGCCTCCCAGAGTTGGGTTAAATTCATGTTGGTCGCTTTGATGACACTCTCCAACCATCTCATCCTCTGTCGTTCCCTTCTCCTCTTGCCCTCACACTTTCCCAACATCAGGGGCTTTTCCAGGGAGTCTTCTCATCAGATGGCCAAAGTAGTGGAGCCTCAGCTTCAGGATCTGTCCTTCCAGTGAGCACTCAGAGTTGGTATCCTTCAGAATGGATAAGTTTGTTCTCTTCGCAATCCAGGGGACTCTCAAGAGTGTCCTCCAGCACCACAATTCAAAAGCATCAATTCTTCGGTGGTCAGCCTTCTTTATGGTCCACCTCTCACTTCCATACATCACTACTGGAAAAACCATAGCTTTAACTATGCAGATCTTTGTCAGCAAGGTGATGTCTCTGCTTTTTAAGATGCTATCTAGGTTTGACATCACTTTCAAGAAATAGGCGTCTTTTAATTTTGTGGCTGCTGTCACCATCTGCAGTGATCATAGAGCCCAAGAAAGTAAAATCTGTCACAGCCATATCTTCTCTTTCTGTTTGCCAGGAGGTGATGTGGCCAGTGGCCATGATCTTAGTTTTTTTTTTTATGTTGAGCTTCAGACCATTTTTTGCACTCTCATCTTTCACCATCATTATATGCTGGAAGCCGCCTAGAGTGGACTTATAGTCCAGATAGGCGGGATATAAATTAAATAAATAATAAATAAATAAATAAAAAAATTAAGCACGGAATGCACTGTGCACCCCTGAAGTTACTGGAGGCATGATTTGCATTTGGGAATATTTTCGGTGGCAAGGGGAGAGTGGCGTTTCATGGT